TGTGTGGTCAGGTGCGAGCTGGACCACAACCAGTGCTACTGCGGATGCATGCTGACGACCACTCAGAGGAAGCACAACTGGGACACTTGCATCGTGCGAAGCCAGGTGAGTCTTGTGTCTCCGAGCCCTTCTGCTGCAGGCCGATACCCTCCTACCGGTTCGCTGACGACCCGCCCTGTGTTGCAGTGCACCAATGCCACCTGCAGTGAGTGCGGCACGGACGACGAGGGCTGCGCGGACATGTGTCGGATGAATTGCGAGTGCGGCTGCGGCGGGCACCCCCGGGGCGGCATGGACCACGACGTGTGGAAGGCGTGCAACCAGGCGAGGAATTGCCGGGGGGACTTCGAGGTGTGTAGGGAGAGCTGCAGAGGGAACAAGGACTGTGTGGTGAGGTGCGAGCTGGACCACAACCAGTGCTACTGCGGATGCGTGCACACAGCCCTGGCGACCACTCAGATGAAGCACAACTGGGACACTTGCATCGTCCAAAGCCAGGTGAGTCTCTGAGCTTTGCAGAAGCACCCCCCCCCCCAAACCCCTAACTGACTGACCCGCCCGTTTTGCAGTGCAAGGAGGTGACCTGCAGCGAGTGCGGCCCGGACGACAAGGGCTGCGCGGACATGTGCCGGATGAACTGCGAGTGCGGCTGCGGCGGGCACCCTCGCGGCGGCATGGACCACGACTTGTGGAAGGCGTGCAACCAGGCGAGGAATTGCCGGGGGGACTTCATGGAGTGCAGGGAGAGCTGCAGAGGGAACAAGGACTGTGTGGTCAGGTGCGAGCTGGTCCACAACCTGTGCTACTGCGGATGCGTGCAGACGGCCCTGACGACCACTCAGAGGAAGCACGACTGGGACACTTGCGTCGTGAAAAGCCAGGTAAGTCTCCTCTGTGCGTTACGGCAGGCCGACCACACCCCCTACCCTATTTCCTCTGCTGATTGACCTGTGTTGCAGTGCCACAACAAGACCTGCAGCGAGTGCACTGGAGCTTACGGACTCTGCGCGGAGAGATGCGCCCGGAGGTGCGAGTGCGGGTGCGCTGGTCATCCCCGGAGCGACCTGAGCGGCGAGTGGGAAGAGTGTTTCGTCGGCACGCAGTCCTGCGAGGAGGCGCACTCAGATTGTTTGAAGGGGTGCCACGAGCAGAAGTGCGGGAGCAGGTGCGAGCTGGACTTGATAAAGTGCAGGTGCGACTGCCGCTCTGCCACAGAGGCGGAGTGGCTCATGTGGACCGAGTGTAAGGAAAAGGACGAGGTAAGTCCCCAAGTCCCCGTGCGCGTGCTCTGAGGCAGGCCGACACGCTCCTCCCCCTCCCCGCTGACTGGTCCACCCTGTGTTGCAGTGCGGACGCAAGACCTGCAGTGAGTGCGGCGAGGACGACATGGACTGCGCCCACAGATGCCAGCGCAACTGCGAGTGCCACCGCTGCCTCGGCATCGCCGCGGACAACATGGACGACCTCTCGGTGCAGGAGTGCAAGATCAAGAGCGGGTGCCACATCGCGTATAAAAAGTGCCAGGAGAAGTGTAAAGCAGCCGAGGGCGACGAAGAGTGCGATCACTCGTGCCTCCTAGCCTCGGAGAAGTGTCACTGCAAGTGCGCCCAGACCAGCGCGACGGAGACCAGCGAGGGTGAGAGACGAGAAATCATCCAGCACTGCAACTACCTCGGTTAGATGTTGAACGAGGTGGGTGTACCAGAACAAACGACGCGCTCTCTTGGGCCGCAGGGGGCCACGCACGGAAAAAATAAATAAAAATAGGTTCGGTGCTAATCGATTTAGCAGGCAAATTTGGCACTCTTGTCAAAAAAGTAGCAATAAAATAAAATATTTAGCTGTACTGCTAAATAGTATTCGCGATACAGCTAAAGTTTAGCACTGAAACTAAAAAAATTACCTGGGCCTATGCTGACAAATTTTTTGCATCAGTGCTAAAAAAAATAGCTAAGGTGTTTTTTGTTTTTTGTTTTTTGTTTTTGTTTTTTTTTCCGTTCCGTTCCGTGCCTTACGGGCGGAGGGAGTGGCAAGCCCGCGACACAACTTGCGGGGGTTCGTTGTGGACACCCGGTGCACGAGAGGCTATTTCTGGAGTAATTAAACGACTTTTAATTAGTCATTCTTTGCTTTACCTTCTCTACCTCTAAACCTTGCTACGCGGAGGCGGAGGTGTTTTTTTGCACCGGATGCATGCAGAGCGATGCAGTGTGAGGTGAGACGTGATGGCAGGCCTACCTCAGCACGCTGGCCACGGCGGCGGGGGAGTAGACCTCGCGCGGCGAGTAGGCGCCGGTGCGGGCGAGCTGCGGCGCCCCGGGCAGCAGCAGCGGGAAGGAGTGCGAGTCAGTGGCGTGCCAGTGCAGCACGTTGAGCTTGCTGGCGGCCATGGCGTCCACGGTGCGGAGCAGCGCCGACAGCGGCAGGTAGTGGCGGGCCGTGTCCAGCAGCACGCCGCGGTGCGGGTAGCGGGGCGCGTCGGCGACCCGCGCCGCGGCCACGGCGACCAGCATCTGCGGGGACGGAGTGGGGGTGGGGTTGAAGTGGGGTCGCCTCGCGAGGGGACGACCAGAAAGTACGGCCGTCATCCGCCGCGTCACGAAACTGCCGAGCTCATCCAGCCGGTGCAAGCTCTCGTAGCGCCCGATAGGTAGGCAACATCGTGTCTGCAGTGCGTGCGAGTACCACGGTGTGGCCTACCACGAGTCTCGCAGGCGCCAAGCTTCCTCCGTAAGGGGCTATTCAGAAATCACGTGGACAAGGAAGGGGGGGGGGAATCCAAATATTTTGGAGAGCCAACAGGATCAGGACCGTCATTTCAATCCAAGGAGACCTCATACCTCATAATATTTGTCCCCCGGGGTAAAAATATCATGGGGTCTCGTTGGACCCCTGTAGCCGTTCTGATCCTTTTGGGACCCCATGGTATTTGGGGGTTTCTGAACAGTCCCTAATTTGCCCTTTGGAAAAAAGCGGACGTACTTTCTGAATGATCCCCACGTCCGGGGGGCGGGGAGGCCCTGACAGCTCGAGGGGCAACAACAGCCAGCGACACTCACCACTCTCGGTGGCGACCCGGCGGACGTCGCCGGCATCGCGATGGCGGTGACGAGCTGGCCGAGGGTCTGCACGCCGTGCCGCGCGCCCCACACCGTGGCGGCGTGCACCGTCGCCCGGACGGTGCCTCCTGCCGACAGACGTCACCGTCAGCCTGGACCTCTAATGCGGGAGGGACTATTACATTACACATACACCGTAACAACAATCACCCGGACATGGCATGGACAGCAGCGGGCGTCCCACAAGAGGTACTTCGCTTAAAGAAAAATCAGGCTGCAAACACCAATTAAACAAACAATCCGAAAAAATCCGAAAACTGAGAGAGAAAAGAAAAACAGAATGAAGAAAAAGCAGTAAAAATCGGTGTATGCTTGAATTTGTAGTGAAGTACCCCTCGACCGCCCACAATATTGTTGGCCGTTCCCTCCATGATGTCTGTATGACTTTTTTTTTTTTTGTATGGGGCGACCACCACCGTGATCGCGGACCTTTGGAGGACACGTCGAGCCGGTAGCTCTCGTCCGTGTCCCAGTCGAGGCCGAGGTCCGCGCCCGTGGCGTTGATGACGACGGCGAGGCCGTGGTCGCCGGCCACGCAGCCCGCGTCGCACAGGCGCCTGAGCGCCGCGTCGAGGCCGCGCGACGCCTCCTGCAGCACGGCGCGCGCCGCCACCCCTAGCGGTGGCCCCGGGCCCGAGGCCCTCGCCCTGGCCGGCGGCGGCACGCTCAGCTGGATGCGGACGCGCCCGGGGTCGATGGACACCACCTGCCGCCTGGAAGCACAGAGAGACGGGGGAGGCCTTGAGAGCAGGGCCTGGACGAGGATCGCAGCCGTAAACAAGTTGCGTCACTTCTTAATCAAGGATTGGGGGGGGGGGGTGACAGCTCTCTCGTCGCAATGGTCCATGTGTAAAGTTTGCCCATCGAGAATAATCAGAGAAAAGTGTTATCCCCGGCTAATGATTCTTCACTGTTTTCCACCCAAAAATTCGAATCAGCCGCCCGTTTTCGTGAGAGAGCGGGGATTCGATGCATATTTCCCGGAACACCCCCAGACTTTTCGGGTAAAATTGGTGTTAATATGCACCCATACTCGTTCTACGATTCAAAGAGCAAGGAGCGAGTGAGCAAAGTGAAAGTAAAGCGCTGTCAGCTGTCGCTGTCTGCGAGCCGTGTCGCGCGCTAAAGTGTTGACGAGTGCCGCGTTCCTGTGTTTGGCTTTATTCTTGCTCGATAAGCCTTTTGCGTGCTGATATTGTGGTCGTCGGACTGCGTCGGCCCGTCCCCGCGAGGCGGATGTCGGACTGGCCTGTAGGGGCGGCTGCCCCCCCCCCCCTCTCCCCCTGAAGGTTTCAATCCGGGCCCCTACCGGCCCTTTTAGACAATTCGCCCCTGAATATAGGCAACAACCCCACCGGACCACTGGCCCCCAAATTGGGTGAGTATGTTTTTGAAACGGGAAAGTTCGAAATAAGTGGCCTTGTAGGACAAGTTCACGATGGACAAGTTCAACACCCCGTTTCCGTCTTGTGCACTCTGCACAAAAGTGAAATTTCCGAAACGTGGCTATTTAGTGTCAATGCTTTTGAAAAAACGCACACCGGAAATGCAACCAATCTGCGCAATATACGCCAAATAAGGTTAAAACTATCTATGAGCTTACCCCTAAAAGACTAAATCTGCAAATGATACGAGCTGAGCTGACACGTCGAGTCACTGCTTTCTTACCCGGGTTGGCACAGCCTGCCCGCGAGGATGCAACCCGAGACCCCGGCGGTGCGGGAGCGGCCAGCGGCCAGGCCGCAGCGATACCAGGACCAGCAGGACAAGGGGCAGTCGGAATCCAGGGGACGCGGCGGGAGGTCGAGTCGAGTGGGTGACTAGCAAGTCAACGTAGTGCTCACTCACTGGGCACGAACCACGACGCACCACCGTCACAAGGAAGGTACGTCCTACAAGAGGAGATAGAAGCCCGACCCCGACCCGACCCTAGGTGCCTTGCTTTTCGCCTTGCGCCTTCCCCCATCTTCACCCGTTTGGCGGACATAAACCGGAGTTCGGGGTGCATTATTTACGGGCGGGGCGGGGGTGACCG